CGCTTGGTCGGGTAAGTCACAGATCAGGAGCTTCGAACTATTTTCAGGCCCTTGAGACGGCGATTCATTCGAAACGTTGGCCAGTAAAGCGGTTCAGCCATAACAAGCTGTACGGCAAAGCAATATTAAAAATTATGAAAAATGCCCAGGTTTCAAGAAGACCGAACATGGATTTTTTAAACGTTTTAATATTAACGAGAGAATACAATACATGTTATTTTCTTCCACGAGAAACAATATACTCATATCTGATTATGTGTTTTCAGCTGTACTGTGAAAGAATGATACATAGAATCAGAAGAAGAAATCTGTTGCCTCGAAGAAAAGTCCTCAGGATTTTTTCTATGGAAGGTCATTAGAGAATCCTCAAATACTTCCGACGAGGAAGTCAGGTTTTAAGTCCACAATATGAGCTCTTCACGCAGTTACAAAATCATTTATGAAAGGCCTCCTATTCTTCATAACCGGAGAACTAGAGCGAATCAACACCTTTTAAAATTAGCCTTTTTGACGGATGTGTTGTTGGAAACCCAATCGGATGGCTCCATTGACCTGGGACTTCCTCTGTTCCCAAATAATCTTTTACCCTTCAGAACTTCCCTTCTATTACGAATAATTCACGTGATTTACGATTTGGCAATTTTTTGTCGAATTATCCAGGCATTCTATAAAAAATCTAACATCATACTGGGGCACGGTACAAGCAGGGCTGGCATAATCTTAGATGAAGTTTGCGCTAACCATAATTTTGCTTTCGCGCTAACCATAGTTATGCTTTCAAGTATTTTGTGTTAGCCGAAACTGTTCCAGTCAACTCCTCTAGTCCAGTAGGCAAGCAGAAAAGATACTAAGGATACGATATTGACGCAAAAGCTACCCTTTTGGGGTTTTGTACTTCATGTTTCCAACGATACAACTTTATCTTTCACATTTTATTAGAGCGTCAATCATTCGAGATCTTCAGTAAAACGTAAGAACGAATGTTAAATCTTGGTGAACTGCAGAAATGCATCCACAGCAAATTACATGGTGTAGAATACGCCGTCCTTGTATTTGGCAGCTTTTCCTGGATCAGGTCGTAGCTTCAGTGGTACCAGCCGGTTATAAAATACTATCACCAGCAGCAATGCAAATCCTATAGTTCCAATCTGCGTGACCATGATGTACTTGTAACCGGAATGACGGAATAAGTACCTTAACAGGAAAGGTTTCAAAAACTGAACTCATCATCTTCTACATCATCCATTTTTTAATTGTTGCCTATCCGTGAAAAGTGAAAGTGGAAAGACTGTGGACTACAGTGTCATAACATAAACGAACGTCGTCAAGATAGGAGCAGCAAACTGTGATAAGCTTCCTCCGAAAGAGTGCAGACCTTGCATCATTCCCTGAACAAAATAGCTTTGAATCCTGAATGTATTATAAGCAATAGAGACAAAGAAAGCTTAGCAATATAATCATTTGGGCATCTCTAGGATAAGAGCATCAGAACACAAATGAGCTGGAGCAAACACAAATAAACTCCCGCAGGGGATGGGGGAAGGACAGGCACCACAATGCGCAGTGTGAAAGGCAAAATATCTTGTTTGGGCTTCGGAACAGCCCAGATATAGGGAAAATGAATATTAGTTAGGAATGAATCGAAAACAGGACGGAGAAGAACCATCTGTGGTGGACGGAAGTTTACGAACCAGGCGAGAGTTTCTACACGATTCAAAACTCGCTTCCATAAAAGCCGGAAGTTAAAAAAAGATTATTTAGGCAAGCTCCAAGGTGGGCAATGCATAGGAAAAGGTAGTTAGAGGTTACTAAAAGAAGAGCTGCCAACTTCCGATGATGGGCAAGGTTTGCACTAGGGTGGGCGGAGCTGGTACAAAAGGTATAATTCTGCTTGAAAGTTCTTGGAATTCTTACCATATGTAAACCACACATACAAGCTTACCTGTTTGTATATTATATACACATTCCTGAAACTGAGTAGCGCTGGAAATACATAACTCCTGTTCTCGTGACCTACAGTGTTCAAATTTTGGAGGGATAAGGTTCGGGATGGAGATGCTAATGGCAGGAAGCAGCATCGTAACACTAACGGAAGGTGACAGATGTGAAACTTCGCCCACTGAAGGCAGGGCGTGCAAAAAAATTTTTCCTCCCATTCAAATTTGTAAGCAATGAGGCGTGAGGGCAGGTGTACACTGCAGGCGAGGGGGAGTGGGGATTCCAAACCTGGCAAGCTGTCGAAAAGGCCTCCAGATTATGTACCGATCATTCACAGCTTTGCTCCCTTCGTACATGGAGTGTTCGCGTCTTTTATCATTTACGCCAGGGGCCTTCGCCGATAACCGATATGGTAGATCGATCTACCATTCGGGTCGCCCGGCTTACGTCGGGCCTCATTCCTTATTTTTACGAAGTTTTTG